TCTTCGTGTGAGTAAATTATATTCGTTTTTGTTAAAATGGCATTTTCCAGGTCAATGTTGTGTTTACTCAGACGAAAAACCATTTAAGGTTTCATGATCTGCGACTCCCCGACGATAAATATACGGCCGTGTTTTTCAGACTATCGTAGATTTGTACTCAATTATTAATGGAAAGTGGGATATTAAAATAAATAAATAAAAGACAAAGAAATGAGCTTAAATTAATTAAAATCTACTTCCGATGAAGATGCAATCTTCAAGAGTGCAGGTATTTACCTGAACCAGGTTTTGTCGTAGATACGTTATTTTACCCATAGCTAGCGTGTTTCCCATCGGTATTTTCGCGTAAGTTAATGTAAGGAACTCACCCACACACACACAAGTTCACACACACACATACATATATATATATATATATATATATATATATATATATATATATAGTATGTGATGCAGTTCAATTTACATTACATGAATCATTCATACAAAAAACAGATATTGATATCGACATTTATATCATTAAATTCAATATCCGTTTTTTTGTATGAATGATTCATGTAATATATATATATATATATGAAACTAAGTTGAAATGATTATTTCTCTCCCTGTTGTGACCTCATGATCCAGTTTTCCTCTCTACTGTTCCCTCTTTTTTTGAACTCATTCACGGTTCTCTTGATTGTTCTAGGATAGACTTTAACGACGGAAGCCAGAGTATGAATTTTGGTACCATTACAGAAGGCCTGAATTATTTTTCCTCTCACCATCTCCAATTTGGGAAGACAATGTGGCTGACACAAAATAGATTTTAACCTGTTCTATTTTTAGCAGAATAACTCAAAGGATTTTCATTGATTCTTAAGACAAATGGTGTCTAGATTGTTAAACGTCTTCTCTAAAACCTAGAGAAAAGAAACTCAGTTAATTTAGTATTTTTTTTTAGATATGAAATATTTTGTGGAATGGGTAATTATGCTGTTACACAATTTGGACATTTTTGCTATTACAACCTGTATATAACTGGGCTGATATCGGCCTTATCCACAAACGCAAAAATTAATTTCAGTTTTGAACAGATTATGGAAATTGGATCCACACGAAGCTTTTCTGAATTCTCTATTATTTGCTTCATTTTTTTTCTTTGAAAAAAAATCTCCCCAAGCAAGTTGTTAATGCAAGAAAAACGCCAGTAGGTAGTGGGAGTAGACGAGGACGTGAATGCTTTAGAGAGAAGAAATGATAACAAAAGGAAAGGGTCGAAAAAGACAGTGCATGATGATCGAAGTTACATTTAAATTTTTGAAGATTTTTGGTGAGACGGAAAACAAAAACCAGAAGTAAGTTCCAGAGGAGAGCAGTGTGAGAAAAGGATCTGTTGGAATTTAGACGTGTCAACAGGAGCATGATGAGACTTGGCGGACGATCTAGTAGTACCCTTAACATCCCTCGGTGATAAGTACTAAGGAGGAGAACTCATTAGAAGAACCGCTATGAAAATGCTTATAGAAACGACAGAGAGGAAAAATAACATGGTGGTGGGAAGGTGACAGAAGCCGAGCTTTCATGTCAAGATCGATAACATTACAGACCCTTCTTTGGATTGTGTTATGAATCTCAAGATATATAGCGGGACACCTAAACAGATATGGCAACAATATTCAAAACACACTGATGAATGGTAGATTTATAAATGCTCAAGATGAATAGTGCTTAGAACAATCGCCTGGCACGACATAGTGAACCTACCAGACCAGGCCTTGATACAATGAGATTTTCAGAGTGTCTCTTTGCATTCCAGTCACAAAAACAGTCATTAATTAATACTAGTCAATATAATTCTCAGAGAATATGAACCAATTAAATTGTTGACTTTTTTTACTCGTGTGCATATATTCGAAAAAATTACCCCGTCTCATTGTGATGTTTACCTTGTTATCAAAATGTTTCAGTCGATTTACACTAAAGCCTACTTAAAGTCCATAATTCTAAAAAATTATTAGTTACCTGCAAATGTTAGACGGCTTGAGATTTAAAAACAACTTCTGTAGATATTGGAGCAAAATAGTTTTTATTAAGAGGCAGATATTCTACCTTAGATGCTGGAGCAAAATATTTTTATCAAGGGGAAGAGATTCTACTGTTGATACTGGAGTAGAAAAGATTTTTTGGCGGGCAGACATTCTGCAGTAGATATTGGAGCGAAATAGTTTTCATCAGGGGCAGATATTCTACTATGGACAAAGGAGCAAAATATTTTTATTAAGGGGAAGAGATTCTACTGTTTATACTGGAGCAAAATAGATTTGTTGGCGGGCAGACATTCTGCTGTAGATATTGGAGCGAAATAGTTTTCATTAGGGACAGATATTCTACTGAAGATACTGGAGCAAAATATTTTTATTAAGGGGAAAAGATTCTACTGTAGATACTGGAGCAAATTTGATTTGTTGAGAAACAGAAATTCTACTTTAGATATTGGAGCAAAATAGTTTTGCTAATGGGTGCTGATACTGTTGCCTCGTAAGAACTGATAGCACTCGTATTGATAACAGTTACTACTTAAAGTCCATAATTCTAAAAATTATTACTTACCTGAAAATATTCGCCGGCTTGTGATTTAAAACATTAATACAAATGTTTCAAGGATTATACACCTAAAATTATCCGTAAAATGGATCGACTGAAACGATTTTAGGACAAGATAACCTACACAGATGAGGTAATACTGCCCAAGCAAATTCTGAATGTCAATGAATAATGCCAAATTGACATCAGTAGGAGAAACTCATAGGCTTAGAGCTAAATGTATATGTTCGAAGTTTGTTGGAGAAGACCAACTTCTCATATTCGATTTGATTATTGATTGTCACTAGATCAAAAGATTATTTGATCTTTTCAGCACTTAAGATAATGCTACTCATCCGCCAGATATTATCGATTCCATGAATCCAGAAGATTATATTAAACAGGTGAACGAACTGGTTTGTGGCGTCAGTCATTTGAACACGTTATTACAAAATGTTCGTTTCTTTTAATAATATCAGTAAGCACACAGCACGCTGCGGTGCATGGAGACAGATGCTACTGTAGATACTGGAGCGAAATAATTTTGTTAACGTACAGAAGTTCTACTTGTGATACTGGGGCAAAATAATTTTATTAAGGGGCAGAGATTCGACTGTAGATACTGGAGCAAAATAGTTTTTCTTAAGGGGCAGAAATTCTCTTGTAGATACTAAAGGAAAATACATTTGTTAAAGGACAGAGATTCTACTGTAGATACTGGGGCAAAATAGAATTAATCAGGGAAAAAGATTCTACTCTAGATATTGGAGCAAGATATATTATGGGGGAGAGATTATACTGAGGATAGTGGAGGTAAAATACTTTCATTAAAAGGCAGACATTCTATTGTATATACTGAAGCAAAATTTGTTAAGGGGTGCAGATTCTGTTGCCTTGAAAGAGCTGATAGCGGTTGCATTGATTATGGCTTTTTAAATTTTTTTTTTTATTTTATTTTTGCTTTTTGTACACTCGAAGAATTACAGGATTGTGAAAGTTTTTTAGGACATTTTCCAAATAGTCACGAAAATCATTAATGGGAATGTTATGATGAAAATTTCTACTGAAGCCATTCAGCTTTTCTTCCCCGGCTTTCCAGGAAATGACTATCTTTTGAATATTACACTTATCTGACTCTCTAGTTCAGGAGTTCATGAATTTTTTCTTTATTCGATCATCTGAATTTACATCTCGAACCGATTATGTGACTACAATTTGTAGACAATATAAAATTAGCAGTTCATTCGGGTTGCGGCTAGCAACGGGTTCACTGAGCTCATAAAATTGCAAGAACTCGTTTGCGCGAATCTGTGCGAAAACGTTGAATCCCACCCCTAGATAATGTAGCAAAACAGTATTGTTAAGAGACAGAAATTCTAATGTAGATACAGGAGCAAAGTAGATTTTAAGGGGCTGTAGACATTGCCAAAATGAACCTGTCTTATTCAATCTAATACGATTAATTTATTATATAAACGAAAAGTATTTTTTATGCAAAACTTTTTTACACGGATATTTTGTATAGAATAGAAAAATCAATGGGCATATAACCAGCGAATATTTTTGAGTTTTCCTTCTAATCAAGATTTTTTTTCTTCCATTAACTGTCATCGAGGATTGCTAAGTGTCCTTTATTGAAAAGGTATGTCCTTTTTTATCACTTTTGTCGCTGTTCTTTGTTGAATTTGAAATGGAAAAAACATCTCAACTTCAATTACACTGGTGTATCTACAAGAAATTAAAAGTATTTATTTAATCAATTTTTCTTTATATTCTACATTATAACGTGACAAGGTTGGCAACACGAGTCATGGCAAATGGCTTTATACTACGCCCCTTTGGCTTTGATCAGTAACATTTATATTGAGTTATTGAAAAAGAACTGTATCTTTCTATTTCTGGTGTAACTATTTTGGTTCTTTTATGCTTTTTTCACATAATACAAAACCAAAGAGTCACTCAAACCGTTACAAAATGAGGTTTTTTCATGAAGGTAAAAGCAGGGGCTAAGAAGATATGCAAGAAGGGTAATGGTTTAACTAAGACTTGATATCGTTACGGACGTAAAGATCGGGAAAACACCGTCTCTTGAGACAGTCCTATAAAACATCAGTCATTGAGAAAAGATATTTAAATAGAACTTACAAAGGGAGTGGAATACGAAGGAAGCGGAATAGGAAGTGAGTGGAATACGAAGAGAGTGCAATACGAAGGAAGCGGAATACTAAGTGAGTAGAATTCGAAGGGATTGGAATACGAAGGATGTAGAATACGAATGAAGTGAAATACTAAGGGAGGAGAATACGAAGCAAGTGGAATACGGAGGTAGTAAAATACAAAGGGAGTGGAATACAAGCGAAGTGGAATATTAATTAAGTGGAATAAGAAGGAAGTGGAATATGAAGGGAGTGGAATACGAAGGCAGGTGAATACTAAAGAAGTGGGATAAGAAGCGATTGGAATACGAAGAAAGTGGTATACGAAGGAAGTAGAATACGAAGGATGTGGGATAGGAATGGAATGGAATACGAAGGCAAATGAATGCTAAGGGAATGGAATTCGAATGAAGTTGAATACGATGGCATTGGAATACGAAGAGAGTGGAATACAAAGTAAGTAGTATACGAAGTAAGTGGAATACGAATGAGGTAGAATACGAAGAGAGTGGAATACTCAGGGATTGGAATACATTGGTAGTGGAATAGGAAGGAAGTGGAATACGAAGGAAGTGGAATAGGAAGTGAGTGGAATACGAAGGCAGTTAAATACGAAGGCAGTTGAATACTAAAGAAGTGGGATAAGAAGCGATGGGAATACGGAGAAAGTGGTATACGAAGGAAGTAGAATACGAATGAAGAAGAATATGAAGGAAGTCGAATACGAAGGACGTGGAATTGGAATGGAATGGAATACGAAGGGAATGGTATACTAAGGGGTTGGAATTCAAATGAAGTTGAATACGATGGTATTGGAATACGAAGAGATTAGAATACAAAGTAAGTACTATACGAAGTAAGTGGAATACAAATGAGGTAGAATACAAAGGGGGAAGAATACTAAGAGATTGGAATACATTGAGAGTTGAATAGGAAGGAAATGGAATACAAAGGGAGTGGAATACTAAGGAAGTGGAATAATAAGGAAGTGGAATATGAATAGTGTGGAATACGAAGGAATGGAATACGAAGGAATTTTAATAAGTATGGAGTGGAATACGAATCAAGAGAAATGCGACGGAAGTGGAGACGATTCGTCCCAGTGTATGTGGCATGGTGGCTTTTTAGCTAGAATGTTATAAACTTGTGAAAACTAATGAATGCAGCTCGTCAAATCATTTGCTATGAAATGGTGATAGAGTAGCGATAGTCTTGCGAACTTTGCTTTGTGTTAAAGTCATTCCAGTATGGGAAATAATTCATCACCTTCAAGACCGGGAAGTCGCATTTCAATTTTGTCGGTCTCTGGGAAGTGAAGATTGGGCTGTTCCATCCACAACATGTCAGGTGTGCTCGATTTTAAAGATTGAACAGGGTAGGAGGTGCCAGGTACTTTCTGGAGAGGGACAGTGAAAAGTTTACCAGAATATTTTGCATTACAGCCGACACTTGAGGCAAAAGTTTTGTCGACACCCTGAATCTCTTTAAAAAAATCTTCTTAAAATGAGATATTTTTTTTTTAGTAAATTATAGTTTCAGTAACTATGGTGTATTGTCTTTTATTTTCAGTCATATTTTAAGGTGTTTTTATAAAGAAATGCAGAATGATCCCAAACTATATAGAGGCTCAACTTATCTGGGGTTAACTTGAGACTCGATATATGTGCAAATCAAAAGACTTTCCTGAGAATACAACCGTTCATCATCACAGGCAAACATATTTGATTGGTACATTGGTGTCAACCTTAGTTTAGTATTTTTCTATGCATTTTATAACTTAATTTCGACGTCAACAAGGTATTACTTCTGTCGATATTTTTTCAAAGGATTCCATTTCAAGCAAGATAATAAAGCCACTAAAAGGCAAGAGGGTATTGAGTGTTAGAGAGTATGTGAAAAATATTATTAAATAGAGAGGAAAATGAAAGGACATGAATTATGAAGAAAAGAAGATAACTTTTAACATTGCATTTAAATTTTTGACGCTCAAATTTTGACTGAGACCTAAGATTTATTTATCAGAAATGTCTAAATTTCCTGTTTTCATGCTGAAATGGAATTTATCTTTGAACTTTCTGTAACTTTGCTAAGGATTCTAAAAGGATGACATGTTTTCTATTCATTTTTAAAATATTCATTACTAAAATTGTTCAAGCTTCCAATTTTTACTTCAATCTCCAATGTCTACAATCCTATGTTCCATTTCCTTATCTCCTATACGAAATTAGATCTAATTGACACATACACCGGTAGCTATTAAAAATGTTATCGGAAACATATCCGTGGTATCAACTCTTTTTTTAGGTTCAATCGTTAAGTTGGAAAATATAAGTAGAAGAATGTTATCTTTAAGACAAGTCATAAAATAAAAAATTAATAATAAAAATAATTTAAAACAAAATGAGAAATGTGGTATATTGCGTAACAGGCACCTTGGTCGTATATATTTGAAAAACATTAATAGCTATAAAGCCATACAATCTTAATTTTTTCCGGTTAATAATTTGATATGTGTTTTAAACCCTGTGTAATTTTTATCTTTGTCCATAAATTATGAGTAAATTTTTAATTTTGCTTTGCATGCACTCAGTCGGACTATCATATGTTAATAATAATTTAAGAGGTTTAGACTTTATCTTAATCGGATTAATAGAATATTCTTCGGATATATTCGTTGTGAGTAAATCTAATTTTTACACATTTTTAATCTCAATCTCGATATGTAAAATGTAATGCATGATCGTAATAAAACTTTCGTCATCCTTGATTCGTGTTTTGAATTATCTTGCTCATAGTTTCTTTGCTCAGCAGAAGTGTTTAAAGGCGGACTTAGATTGACGTTCGTTTTCTGAAATAGAATTTATCTTAAAAGTTTCTGAAATTTTGCTAAGGATTCGAAAAGGAGAACATGATTTCTGGTCATTTTCAAAGCAACAATTTAGTAAACTTGCAATTTACTACATAGAGTTGTATCAATATTGTTCAAACTAAAATGTTTCTAATGTTTGTATGAATCTTCAAAGCCAACATCAATTCAGCATAAGAGAAAGTTTTTAAAATTTCGTGTCAATATATTTTTTATTAATTTCAATTGTAACAAGGCAATAAAGCCACTAGGATGCAAGATGATACTGAGTGTTAGAGAATATGACAAAATTTTTTATTTAGGAGAGAGGACAATAAAAGATTAAGAATTAAGGAAACATAAGATAACGATTGATATTGCATTTAAATTTGTGAAGTTCAAAGTTGACTGGGAAGCAAAGAGATGGAAGAGATTTGAATAAGTCAGAGGTGAGATAGAAAAAAAAAATGTTAGCAAGTCAATTCAACTGTAACAGGATTAAACATTGCCGCCATTTTAGTAGTGCGCTTAAATTCATAACTTCCCCCCAAAAAAGAAAGTTCATCAGAACAATTACCATAAAAGTATTTATAGAAAACGTATAAGGATAGTGCGTAACGGCGGCAAAGAAATTGACTCAGGCTGAATTGAAGGATCGATTACGTTACGGACAGTTTTTGGATTTCGTCAGGAATCGCGAGATATACAGGAGGACCGAAGACATTGCAGATACTTCGCTGGATTTTAATAATTCACTCTAAATATATATCAAGAACACCAGAGAAGATGTGACAGTAATGTTCAAAGCAATGTCGAATATTCTCTTGTGGGTTTTTTCCCCACCATTAAAAAGTAAATGTTAAAAGATTTTCTACCCTTTTTATATTCGGGAAACGTCTTCACCTTTGCTGATGTTATCAACATGTTTCAACTATTGTGCCCTTCGACCTTCTTCAGTAATCTGTCGATCCGGGTAACCTTAAAGGAATTTCGAATTAACCCTTTATTTAATCTTTTGTAAATTGTTGTCTATCCGTTATCCATAACTAGGGATATCACATCTTGTTCTTAATTAGTACATCTGAGTTTTTGCTATTCCTATTTCCACAGAGTTTGATTATGTACTACCTGGCCCAGGGATTGAACGCTCTACTATATCATCAAATTAACGAAATAATAATCTAAACTATTATGCCAACAAATACATGTGCTACGGTTGACATTGTTTGATAATACTAACAAAGATAATAAAATTGGTCCGAATTTAAGTATTATCAATAAACATACAAGGAATTTCAGCTAGAAAATGTTTTTTACAAGAAATTGTATATTGGATATTTTGCTTTGATAAATATATTAAAAACGAATGTAACCATAGCCATTTTGTTGTTCTAAACTGAAATATAATGTGGAAAAAATAGAGTCGAATAATATATTAAGCAACGCAAAATACATGATGGTAAGAAAAATAAAATGACATTAAGGACCACACGGTAGATTAAATGGGATTATACAAGAATCTACACAATGTTTGAAAGGTTTCCCTAAAAAGAAGAGCATACAGTTATATAAATGATCTTTCTTCTGGCTGATACCGATCCGTATAAATTAATTGTCTACAATTCTGAATCGATAATTTGATTTGCGTAGGAAGACAAATACAGTACAAGGCGTATATTTGACTTTTACTTTATTTGTAATAGATCCGTGATGTTTTCTTTATGTTCTTGCCTTCTTTTACTTCTGTTACCAAACTCACAGTGTTTTTTTCTCCATTTTCTTTTTAGTCTTCGTATGTCAAACATTTGATGCACGTTTGAAGGTTTGTTGGAAGTAAAGAGCCTGTTTGATTCTTTCGATATACACTGCAATTTAATGAGAAATAGTTTGAAAGAGTGAATATTTTACACAATACACATTGAAATATGGGCTGCACTCATGCATTAATAAACCTCAATAAAATTTGATTAATGAACCCATAAAAAAGAGGCAACTCACTGCATAGCAAGAACAACAGATATAATTCAATATTCTTCTAATAAGAGGTCGTAAAGTTATATTGACAAAACTTGTAATATTATTTATTGTCTCCATTCAAAATATGACATTTAGCGTGTTTTAATCTTACGCTGTTTTAAATTCTGAAATGAAACGAGTTTTGTTATTAATTTTCAACTAATGCTCCACATTTATTTTTCTTATTACTTTTCTCTCAACGTTCCAAAGATGATGTTCTTGGTAACGGTCAACAGCGTGAAATTGGAATACTGAATTAACATTCGAAAATTTTCTGGAAAGAGTATTCGATTTTAGGGTTCGTTCGAGGACACGTTTTCATCCAGACTTCACGCTACTGCTGAGGATTTATCGATGCAGAAAGTTATGTTGAGAACCAACAATAAAATAAAGACAATTTTAATAATCTGTAATAAAATCCTTCATATAACAATAAAAACAAAACAAAAACTAAGCACTATTGCTAATAACTACAACTACTACTGCGAATACAAATTGGCAAATAATAATATAGGCTGAAAGAAGTATTTTCGATATATTGTATCATATAAAAGAACTATAACCAATAATATATGATACTAGCAGTAGATCCCGGCATTGCCCGGGGATGTAACAGTAAGAGATAGATCAAGTATCGACCATCCTAAAGACTGAAAACTAAAATTGACAAAGATTATTGTTTAAGGTTGACGGACACGCATGTCTTAATTAGTTTTTTTGTTTTTTTTTACGAATTGGTCAAACCCAAACTCAAACAAAAACATTGTTTTCAATCGTTATCAGTCTACCGATTGAATAGAATTTTATTATAAACAATTGTCGTGTAAATGGAATTTTGAAAGCATTCTGAATGTAAAAATAAAAAAAATAAAAAAAAGTGTGCAAGTAAATAAGAAACACTACCTGCTAAAAAAAAAGTGAAGTTTTGTTGAAATCGGTTGAAAAATGTAGGAAATCCGATCCCATATATAAACACACACACACACACACACACACACACACACACACACACACACACACGCACAACCTGGGTTTTATAATAAGTATGATATATTGTACAAGTATCAAGCTTCCATAGACGAATTCGGTAAGCTGCATCTTACTTAGATATGGGATATGTTAACAGCACAGCATGAAATTACTATTTGGAAATGCCGAAATCAAACTGGTGCAACAGTTTAGATATCTGTGAAGTGTACTAACAGAGAATGGAAAGTGCGACATAGAAATACGAAGGCACCTTTAGTTAGCGTAAGATGCTTTCCAAATACAAAACAAAGCATTAAGAAAAAATCTTCTGTAGAAACAAAAGAAACGGTACTGGAGTATTATGCATTTTCAGTCCTCTTATCTGGCAGTGAATTATGGACCATTCCCAGATAGAGAGGACACTTGAAGAAAAAGGAATTTGGTTTTACCGAAAGATTCTGAGAATACCATGGAACTACAATGGTGATGGAAAAAAGAGAACAGCTATGAAAACCTTCAAAGGACAGAAAATTATGGAGAGCCATAATCACCAACCTCCTGAAGCCACACGGCACATGAAAGAAAATGTTCCCGCTTCTCAGCATACATAGTTCCAAGTAAGTTCTGGGCTATGCATTCATGGAATTAAAATCAATCAGTTTCAGAATGATAACTATTTGGATAGTGTAGCAAGTGACACCAGAAAATGAGACTCTAAAATGTAGATGTGCATGACTACTCAACGCCGCCAAAACGACACTCACCAACTGAATATCACCGACTGATCGCCGGGAAAACTCAGGTATGACATCGAGACAACACAGCACCAGAAAACGTAACATTTTTTTTAAATAAACGAATGAAAGTAATTTATTAAGTTATTAAGGATTAAAACCTTAACGAA